GGGGGCATTAATGCACATAAAGCTCTAAACAGAAAAGCTGATAAGAAGTGAAATTTTCGTAAGCATTCCACTAATTTGGTTGTAATAATTTTTATAAGGAAACTCTTAAGTAACTGTAGATGAAACTAATGTATGTATATTGCTTGGGTTCATACATTTTGCCCCTTTTAACAGTTCGCCAACAAAAATACTGTATGTTAAAAAACAGTTGTTATACTGCAAGGAAAGGGGACAGCCATAAGTTGCATATACTTCACATTTAATACGTAGGGCAGTCAAAAAGTTCCCGGAATTGTGGTATAGCACTGTAATGGTACGAAATACGGCAACGCCTACCTAATCACCTTCAAAGTATGACCCTTGTGCGCACACACTTGCTCCATCGATCCTGCCATTGTTTGAAGTATCGGCGGAAGGCTTCGTTCGGAATCTTCCAGAGTTCGGTCGTCAAATTCGATTTGATGTCCTCCATGGTTGCGAAACGCGTCCCCTTGAGGCCCATTTTCAGAGTGTGGAACAGCCAGAAGTCACTTGGAGCGAGATCCGGAGAGTATGGTGGTTGGGTGATGACGGAAATGGTTTTCTCGGCGAGGAATTGCTGCACAACCAGCGAGGTGTCAAATGCGACGGCCGAACTTCGGAAGAGTCCAAACGAATCCTTCCGCCGGTGCCTCCAACAATGGCAGGATCGATGGAGCAAGTGCGTGCGTGCGCAAGGGTCCTACTTTGAAGGTGATTAGGTAAGCGTTGCCGTATGTCGTACCATTACAGTGCTATACCACAATTCCGGAAACTTTTTGACTGCCCCTCGTAGTTGGCAAGAACTTACTTACTTGATCTTACATTTGAATTGTGTAGGCATAAATGGGAGGTTATTATTAAAATGGATCTTACAGAAATAGAGTGGGTGCATTCTTTGCAATCCAGGACGGGTACCATTGGTGGCATCTTGTGAACATGGTAATGAACTTCCAGGTTCTGTATAAAATGCAAGAAATTTCTTGTCTGAGTGACAGATTTAAGCAGCGTTAACTGGGCTATTAGTCAAGTGGAACTTCAGGAACAATAAACAAGACAAGTTTTAATTCTTAACATTTTTATTGAACTTTTCAGATTGTTTTATTTTCAGGCGTGTATTTCAAAAATTGAAATAGTGGGTACTAATTCTCAATTGAACATATATTTTTTATAGGCATCATCTGCTACAGATGAGTTTAATTTTATAGAATAAATATGAGAAAAAAATCATCGTACACTGGACATCAAATTAGTCTAAACCTTATTATATAATAGTGTACAATTTTAATTAATTACTGTACATGGCAAAACTGCTGAAGTTATCATTCAGCAAAAGAGATGGACATCCTTGTCACACACAACATAGGTGTTGGATATTTCTTAATTCTTCCACTCATGCACGCGCGCACACCAGCATACATGCATTCCACAGCTGCTTACGTATATGCATGTGCACACATGCATATACGTACAGTTTTTGCCGCTTTGTGGTAGCGAAGCTTCGTTTCAGGACAGGCACTTCAGTTCAGATAAAGCAGACTGATTTGAAATATGTAATTTGACGTGACCTTCAGTGTCTTATATTTTACAGTTTTTGTTTATAAAGTGTGATACTTCATGTTTCTTTTAAACTAGAATTAATTGAAAGGGACGTGTTTTTTTGTGAATATTCTTACGCGGTCTTATGGGAGCAAAGTTATAATCATGTGTGACTGCTCTTAGAATACTTTATTCCAGGGAAATTAGTGCAGTAATTTTGCTAAAAGGTTCCTTACACAGTCCAAAATATGCGGGGACAAGTTTTAAGGGATGCACCATTGTGTGCCGAACATAGGTCGACAGCGTAAACATTGAAACTATAATCGAGAACTGCCGTTGTAGCTCGACTGTCAACCTAACGCATATTAATAAAGTTACCTGTACTTGTATGCCTGTCTTGCAGCATATTAATTGGCGTCCACACAGAACATGCTAAAATATAATGTCACTCTTTCATTTTTACATTGTAAAGGTTTCAGTGTAACAGAAATTGGCATATTACAAAGTTAATTTTCCTTTTATATTGATTATAAACAGTGTTGTGTATTAATCTGATATGCCAAAATAGTCTGTAATTACAAAAATATTAACAAAGACTGTATAGCAGTTAATTGTGCCTCTATTTGCAGTCGCTTTGATTCACGTTAACTGTATAGCAGTTAATTGTGCCTCTATATGCACTCGCTTTGATTCACGTTATACCACGTAGGGTTTATGCGATTAGTATTAAAACTTACTTCTGTGCAAAGCCAAATGCACAAGATATTTTAGTAACCAATGATACCAACTATAGAAACAGTCTGTAAGTTAATTTTAGGGGAGCTTTTGGTTTCTTCCTCTTATTTAATAACCATAAACTGTTCGGGATTATCATCACACAAACAAAAATTTGAACTTGTGACACACTTTAAAATTCCTTAAAAATGCAAGAGTATTGTTCTCCTCCTTCCTTACGCTACACTTCAACATTAAATCATGGATCTTGGTGTCCTTTCCCAATTGCTCCTGTTCTTATCAAGTATCTGTATCATTTTTCCAGTCTTAAAATTAGATTAATACAGTGCATTGCTATTATTAATATTTATGTGTGCATTTGGCTCACAATTACAATTGATATTACAGATAAATTAGTTTGGCAGTTTACGTATTCATAACAGGCTTTCAGTTGATGAGAGATTATGTCCACATACTTAAGTGCCCGGCATATTTTTCACGTAATGTCAAGACATTTGTCTTGTATGACTATTGCAGCCTCTGCCTTACAGATGTCTCTTGAATTATATAAGCAAACTTACAGCTTCCAACTTTTAAAATTGTTATCTACCTATAATTTCACATGGCATTACTACCCGGAAAACTGACTCAGCATCTTCGCCATCGAGAACCTAAAACCTCTTAAAAGGCCAGATATTGATCTGATTGGTTACCAACTTCATTAACCTTTCCTGTGAAGATTTCTGCTTTCTGGATTGTAGTGCTGCCTCCATCATCAGGGTCCTCATCACCCTGATAATGGAGGTAGCAAGTACCTCTGAAACGTTGGTAAACTAGACCACATGATGCTACAACCCAGAAGACAGCCATCTTTGAACTCACTGCCATGAAAACCTTAGAACCTTTATTATATCTGAATTCTGTGCCAGATACGAGATCCTCATTCACAGGGTCCAAGATATGACATTGGCTGGATACGGATGCAGATTTCGTAGTGTAACGACCACTGCATTATTTTAGAGCCGGGCTCGGAAATGCAGAATCGCACATCATAATTTGTATGCGGAACAGTTTATTTCAAGCTGTTATCTTTAAAACTGCTTAAGTTTCAAGAAGATATAAATTTACCATATACATTTTCAAAGTGGATGTTTAATGTGGGCATTGAAGTTTAGACGAGAAAATGGAGTTGGTACCACGCCTTCCGTAAGGTGTGAAAGACTGTAAATGTAAACTGTTACCTCAACTAAATTATGGCAGTAGAATTGTCTGCAGAGTTTGCTAGGAACGAGGAAAGGCAGTTATTGGTATATTATTGTTATAATTACTTATTAAGGCCAGATTCTTTGATAGAAAGAGAAGTTACTGCCATTGAACATAAATTGGAGAGCAACCATAACAATTTATCGTCATCTCAGAGCTTATTTGCAATAATTATTTCACACGTATTGCATCGTTTATTAAAAATGCTATATGTATTACATTTAACCCTTTTGCTGCACGTTATATTTCCACTAGTTTGCTAATAGAATGCAATTTTGAGGTAGAAATCTGTACTCATTATAAGGGCCAGGCTATTATGTATGAAAATGAATACAAATTACCACCAGGCCATTCAGATACTCAATTTTTTTTTATTTTCAAAACACTTTTTTAGTCTTATAACCACTTAAAATTGAGAAATGTCACCACAGGTGTCAAAATCTTGCTCAAAATATCAAACTTAACAGTGCGCTGTTTACGTACAATTTCAAACTCTTCGCACTACACAACAGCGTGTTTACCGAAAAGAACGAGGTTTTACAACTCGGATAGTCAAATGTCGCAGCAAAAGGGTTATGATTACAATAATAGGTTATAAATACATTAGGATTCACAATTATAATAATATTATTATAATATAAAAATGTCAACAATTAGTTCTAATTCTAGGTTAAGAGAAACTAATGAACATTGTGTGTACGAGGTGCGATCGGAAAGTTTCTAGACTGCGCCTATAAAAACCCGTACACTTATCTCAGGTATTAAATTCATCCATCACCCTCGAAGTAGTTCCCCGGGGAGTGAACACAACGATCCCAGCGAGGCTGCCAAGCCTGGAAGCATCCCTGGCAATCTTTCTTTGTCAGCCTGTCAAGCACCATCTGCGATTCTGCCTGAATCTCTTCTATCGTCTCAAATCTCCTTCCCTTTAGCTGAATTTTCATCTTTGGGAAGAGGAAGAAGTCACACGGAGCTTAGAAAGGAAGTTGGGGTCGGTTCTTGCAAGATCTTTGAGCTCCTGACAAACGAGAAGTCGATTCTGCTTCTGGTCCTCAGACAGGATGCGTCGCATGTGGAGTTCTTCCTTTAGAATCAGCTGACCGGTCCCATAGCCTATCCCAACAATGTCGCACAAGTCGTTGATGTTACGACGTCGATCTTCGTGAATGGCCTGCCGAATCTTGGTAACATTTTCGGGCGTTGTGCTCGAAGATGGTCGTCCAGAACGCTCGTCATCATCGACAGGGGTTCGGCCATTTTTAAAACGTGAATGCCACACAAAAGTTTGCGGACTCCCCAAATGTTTGCTTTAGCATTTCATAGGTTTCCGTAGCGGTTTTGGCGAGTCTTTGGCAAAATTTGATTTGTTCATGAAAATCCGCCATTCCGAAATCGCAGGAGGGTCGGTGTAATGCACTACCAAAACGCCCGTAACTAAGAAACAAATGCTAATTCGATGATGCCGGCTGGCACACTGATTCACTATGAATGTAGGCCGCACCCCCTAAAGGCAGAAGCTCGTACTACATCCGGTTCGCCCGATATTGACACAGTCTTGAAACTTTCCGATCGCACCTCGTATATGAAGGAGAGCAATGACGTGAGCAATCTTCCGCTTAAGTATCGCTTTCACACTAATTTTTTTAATTGTGCCAACGCAGTGAACTCTGTGACATTCCCAGGCACTTAGAAAACAGAACTGCAGCTCCTGCATATGAACTTTGAACACAAGGAACAATGTTCAGCTGTAACGTAGTTTATTATTCTGAAAGACTTAAATAACACAATTAGCCTACTTATTAGATGTACGTAGCCATATATGTAGTATATGATTCTCGCGCGTACGCTTATGTGTCCGTCCGTTACACTTCGTATGAAAATGAGAGTTTGTTGAAGGGAAAGAAGTAAGTTTCGAAAGTTTAATTTTGCAAAATTCTTCTCAAAAAAAAAAAAGTTGCCAGCATTTTTTAAGTTCTGAAAAATTTGACAAGCTGTGATCCACAGCACATCCAAAACATGTTTAGTAGTTACTAGTATCTGGAATTTCAGAAATTCATTCTGTGGTCTCTCTAACCTGGCTTTGAATTACTCGATAACAAAAAAATGTCTTCCTGTAAGCTTATCTTTATTCTCTGGCCGTAATGCCATAATACGAAGCCTCGGGATTCCAATTCAAGTGATCATTTAAATGACTGCCAGGCCATTTAAAGGGGAATACAAGAAGTTTACTTAAGTACCCATAGAGAATTCCTGAACATGACCTTCTATTCACTCAGAAGTCTCAATTGTATGTTTTTGTAGATTTTGGAGTTCAACAGGATTGCACGTAAGAATGATGTATAAGGCTGCTTCAATGCTAAGAAAGAGCATTGCAGGTGATGGCTCTGTGAACACATTTGTTGTGGTTATTAATTTTAGATACAGGTTGCAGTGCACGTATGAAAATGATACATGGGCCTTTCTTTCCTTGATGTCCTTCTATGATATAGAACACCCTGTAGACTGAGATCAATGTATGTTGGTTTAAAGCTAGCACTTTCGGTTATTGTTGGCCCCTGAGTGATGCTGCATGTGGTCGGATCGTCGTTGACATTTGTTTCTAGAGTTTATTTCACGAGCCTTGTTACTACGATCCAGGTGGTTACGTTTCAGAAGCTGACAAGCTCTGCGCTGCCGTAACTGAAATGCAAAATTCATACACATCGTATTACCAAAACTTAATGCTTCATTCAATATTCAATATTTTACCTTAAATGGTTAAGAATCCATGAAATACTGACTTCACTAGTGTAATTAGTATAAATTTATACGTACATATTTATATACTCGTATTAATATTTGGTATTATCATTCAGGAATATCTGAATGAACACTTTTATAAATCTTCTCACCTAATAATATGTAATCCCCTCAGGGGCCCACATTAGTGGGTATGGGGAGTGGCACCCCCAAGGTACCTGAGCTACCCAGTGGAATAACACTACTGTTAAGAAACTTCGAATAACGCCTCACAATTCAGACTGGAACGACGGAAAACTATGGCAAATGAAATATGGACATGATTTGTAGTACACGGAACACGAAGTCTGCGTAGCAGTGGATCCCTAAGAAAATTGCTACGACAGATATCTAAGTGTAACATCAGTGTGTTAGCAGTACAAGGAACCAGATGGACAGGAAGTGACTTATATTTTACTGAAGAAAACTGTTGATAACATGAATATATTGAGGGATTAAAGATTGTCAAAAAGGTTGCTAACTGGATGGCATCTTGCCATTTTACAAGGTGAAACAGGTTTCTGACCCTGGGCTGCTTGCATTAAACGTAATTTATTCATTTTGTTATACAAATCTACTCTTAGTACAGCAGTATCTGTGGTCCGCGGACGCCTGGGAGTCCGTGACTGTTTAGGAAATTATATAAATTTTCCCAGCAGATTAATAAAGTACATATACGCAAAATCTGAAATGGAAAATTTTAAGTGAAATAATTTTAAATTGGATGTTAAAAGTTAAGTTGGTACCCTTAGCTTGATTCGTGGGAGCAGTGCAAGCACCATCTGTTTGTGATGAGAGTGACCAAGAGGCTTCGAAACTTCCATATAGTTCCAGACGTTTCGCGTCTTCTCAGGATGAGATCATGTGACGGGAAAGATCTAGAAACATCTACGATGTTTTAAACATAAGGAACCTTCGTTCGTTGATCTGTTGGGCAAATTTCAGTGCAGAGTGAACAGTACAGAATGTGCGATCGCGGTAAGTGTAGTGTGTGTAATGAAGGCCTAAGCGCGTCACCAAAGGTGTGCTCTACTTGAACCCGATTCCGTAACAGTACGTTGTAAACAAATAGATTTGTGGGTATCCAAGAAAAGTCCTATGGATCGCTGGAAAAACACTAAAGACGTCAATAAAGTGATGTAATTTAAAAGAAGACCAAATGTCGCAAATACGATGTTAAATGTTTATCGACGGGTTTTCACGTGCCCAGATTCAGAACACGAACAACAGCCGCATTGCGTGTTCTGTTTCAACCCATTGTGAAATGAGACCATGAAACAATCTATTGAGGGGAAAATTAGTGAAGATTATTGTTCTGCCGCTCTCTGATACCACTGCTGAAGAGGTGTAAAACAGTTTGAATGAATTTCTGATGTCAAGTGGAATTCAGTGGTCTAAATGTTTAGGAATCAGCCCAGTTATGGCGCGTGCCATATCTGGGATACAAACTGGACTTATTGCACGAATAACCCTTCAGTTACATGACATCGTTGCATTCATCGAGAATCTTTAACCATTAAGAAGATGTCAGAAGAATTGGAAAAAAAAGTCTTCAATGAATCAGTCAAAATCGTAAGTTTTACCAAAGCTAGTTCACTAAACTCAAGGCTTTTTGAGTAGCTCTGCCAGTCTATGGTTAGTGATCAACAACTTTTGTTGCAAACACAAGTCCGATGGTTTTCTCGCGGCAAAGCGTTGTCCCAGCATTTCGAATTAAGAGATATCAGAATATTTTTCATTGATCTGGAATCTCCATTCGCACTTACCGAGCGCTTGAATAACTATTCTTGGTTAGCCATGCTGTCGTATATATGGCGGACATTTTCGCTCATTTAAATGCACTCAACTTGAGCGTGCGAGGAGAAGGCATCACAATTTTTAATGTCGAAGACAAGATCGAGGCAATAATCAAAATCAATTGTGGGCTCGTCGCTTATCAAAATTCTCTAGTGCATTTAAGCGAAGCACGTCAATGGAATAGTCATTTTTGGATGAAGGATTATGGTAGAGACTGAGAGATGGTACTCACGCAGGACTCAGTTCAAGCTACTTTTCTGACTACAGTTCAGAGTCTTGATGTTGACCATTTTGTTTTGTCAGTTCACGTAAAATATGATGTTCCAGGTTTTTCCTGGAGCCACAGAAGTCTGGTCATGCCTGAAATTGTCTCGATGAAAGAGGATTCTTCGTCGTTCGTTTATTCGTCGGTGTGTTATGTTGCTGGATGACTTAGAATTAACAATTTCTCTGTTAGTATCATCAGCATCCACCCACTCACACAGTCCTCTTTCAATCATCTCAAAACTTCATCTGGAACCACAACAAAATTTGTAGTCATTACTCACTTTCTGCGCAGACCTGATTGGGAGACACTCTCTCTCTTGTTGCTTGTGCAGCGAATAAATGGCATGTCGCTGTCGTGGTGTGGCTTGCGCCGTGGAGTGTGTTTGTTCAATCACATGCTCAGCCTCGGCCGGCTCGGGTCGCGGAGGGTCGGCTTCTTCGCCGGAGAGACTGGAAGCAGGTGAATTGGGGGCAGTGCCTGTGGAGCCAGAGCGACGTCTGGGGCAGGGCAGCGAACAGTGTGTTGATGAGGAGTGCTGGTAAACAGACATGCTGGGATGTTCAATCAGCAGATTCTCCAGAGGAGATGTCTCCATGTGGATTGGTCCTTCTGAAGTGAAGCAGGGAGGTGGGGTCAGAAACCACGACTCTTCAAATGAGAGAGAGGGAAGAGTTGACGATGACACCCACGTTAAAGAATGGTAATCGGTCGTGTCTGCCGGCAACCGGTACGGAGGAGGGAATGGATGAGGAATTGTACTAACTGTGAGCTCTAAGGCAGACAGAGTCTCACTTGATTCTTCTGAGTGTTCAGATCTATCATCTTCTGTAAAGAGAAATGGATACTAACGTCAGTTTTAGGGATGTTATTATTTTAAATCGCTGACATGCATCAAGACACCAGCACCCTTTCAGGTTCTGCAGGAAAACAGCCATGTTTGAATTTTTACGGAACTCGACTTAATTAACAAATTAAACTCTGAGTGACAGTAATCTCAATATGTTGCTAACTAAGAAAGATTATTATGATAGTATTTTATTCTTACATCCTAAATCAAGTGACCTTAAATAAATTCGGTCAATTTAACTTATAAAAGCTGTGAAGTAACTCGATCATGAGTCATATTACCTATCAGTGATGAAAACATACACAAGACAAATAAAAAAAAAATTGATAAAATTCTGGTGAGCAATTTCTAAAACAAGATAAAAATTCTCTGTAAAAGTACATCTATAGGGCATTTTAAATGCTATTACAGTTACATCATCTTGAAGGGTCAGTTGTTTCATAATTCCTGTTCCCGATGTACCTGTTTTTTCAACCAGCACCCAGTCGTCATCGCTATCAACTGCCCTGAGCCGAACCTCAGCAGTCTCTGCTTCAGGTGACAAGGATTGGTTCCCAAGAAGGTAGCTTGCCAGACTGCTGAACATGGCGCTCTGAAACAATAACACTCGTTACTGCCACGCTGTCTGTGGTGTGCCCAGAATTTATTTCAAATGAAATGCAGTCTGTGATTTACATACTTCACTCTGTGGTGTTATGGAAAAGGGTTTTAAAAAATGGTGAAAATGAGACAAGAGTAATCATGTTTTATGTCATGAGTCAATTTATTTTCTGAAATTTTTTTTATGGAATTTATAAGTTTGATTCGATCTTAGCTAATGCAGAAGCTGTACTGGGCGAATGCAAATCAGACATTCAGTATGCTTAACCACGTTTTGTATTGACCTCCAATACCAAATTTCGGTGTAATTCATTCAGTATTTCAGAGATAACATAAGGATATGGCCTGTCTATTATTCATTCATGTTATGCTTTTTTAAAAAGCACACAAGATGTGTCACGTGGTGTAACAGTAGACTTCCATGTGCCAGTGCATGCTTTGAATTACTTTTCAGATAGTGTCAAATGCCTGTCATTTTCCAAATAGATTTATTTATGCGAATAGAGAGCAGAAGGCAAGCACATGTTAGGTTAGGTTAGCATTTTAAGCTTTATCATACAGAGTATCCATAGCTTAACTATGTGTTCTTGGGATCATTTTGAGTCAAAAAGTTGATATAAACTTGGGTCCGATTTGCAACGGTTTGTCAGGAAAACGCACCGCACTCGCTATGCATTGACTGGGGTTGAGAAATTAGTTCGCATGCGCACGTAGGCAAAACATGGGGCAGTCGGTGCTTGACATCTCAATGCTACTTGCTGTTATTGGTCACGGAAGATATTCCTATGCTAACCAAGCAATTGATATGACTGCAGCAAGATGGCACACCCCGTTTTGGTAGGCAGGTGACTGCATTTCTTAATCAACAGTTGCGAAACCGTTGGATAGGCCAGCGAGATCTCTGGAGTCTCATGATATCTATCCCTGGTGTCCGCCATCAAATCAAAACAGTAGGGCTTAGCTGGTGAATCGAGTAATGGACTCTTGTGATAACATCAAACATGTGAAGAGGGCTGTTACTTCAATGACACGAAGAGCTCAAACTGTGCACCGACAATCAGTGTAGCCATTTCGAGTCACGTAAATAACGTGAGTAATTTAAAATTCAATTTAGAGTGTAGTCTAAACTTAATAATAACAACAACGCAACCTAAAATTAAATGTAAATAATTTAAAAGTTACAAATCCAATATAATGCTTAATCACGTTTTGTTGACATACCGCTGTAGATCGTACCCATGCTTATTTGAACTTTTAGACTCAAAATTATCCCAAGAGCACATTTTTTCGGCTATGGACATTCTGTGTAGAAATAGTGGCCATAATGCTTGTACTACAGGGCTGCTGACTGCTCAGTGGAGTGCACAAGCTGTGCCTCATGGCTGATACAAGTTACAGACCCAACTCCAGTATTTTATTTTATTATATTCATCCCTAATTATGTGTGCATGAAATAAATAAATAGGGCTAGTCATATATGTCTTTGTGTCTGTCTGTCAACATGATTCAACTTGAGAGCTGCTGGACAGATCTCGATTAAATCTTGTATGAACATTATGTGATTGGGGACTAACCTAAAATAAGAATACTCAAGTTGGCAGACAAACTTGTTGTGGTGGGGGTCGACACAAGCACCACCACCTGCATTATGGCCACAAAATGACGTATAGTTTTTGATTTTCAGAAAATACTTCGATATAATAATTATTTATTATATGTAAAATAACAACATGGTGGTTGTATGACAGTTAAACAAAATTTGACTAGGATTGGATTCTATGACCCCCCATGTCAACAGTCCAGTATGTAAAGTACCTTTTGTCATATCATAAAGAAGACTTTAAGACCATGTGATTTTTATAGTTTGAAATTAAAGTTGTCAAAGTATGATAGATAATTGGCATAATCCTTTATGATTAATTCAGAATTTACAAATAACAAGTGTGTATTCTGGTACGGAATACACCTTTCTAGTTTTGTATGTTATATTTGCCTTCAGGTGACAACAAGACCTGGGATATAGACAAAGTCAAACAGGGCATTGAAAGATTTGATGTTTATAACAGCAGTATGGGCCACTGACATTTAGTGCTAGCCAGAATTGTTGCACGGTTTCCGACACATTTCAAACATAGCACAAGGGTAGTTATATGAAATTGGCAAGACAACAAGTATCTCTAGAACTTGGCAATGAATTTAAGGTCAACGATGTTTGCAAAAATGTAGTCTTACTCTCCCAATATTTATACTACTCTTACATAAGGAGGCAGAAATCTCAACTACATGAGTAATGCAGTTTTCACACAAAATATTGCTTAGGTGCACCAGAAATGTCTGTAAGAATTTTCTCCAATATAATATTCCTACAGTTCATAACCTCTAAAGTTTATACCAAATCCCATCTCATAACTCAGAATATTTTAATGTTTGGTCATGCGAGGTAGCAGTGATTGGACTAAGGTGAGTCTTGTCTCATGGTGCCCCAAAATTTGGGTTCCAAATTAAGTATATTATTTTATCATATTCTTGTTTCAATTTTACTTGGTACCTAATTGCATATGATGTTGAAAAATAATGATTTTCATTGACAAGGAAAAGAAACGGAAATATGGACATTATGTAGCTTGTAGAGAATGTATTAGAGCTCCGATCTGGCAGCACTGCTTGATATTATACGACAAATTCACGTATGTCACTTGTTCCAGAGTTTTAAAAAGAAGACGCAATCAATTAGTTTTTATTTTTAAGATTCATAGAACCTTGGTTGAAATTTGGTCTATACCTTATAATTTGTGTATATTTAATAAAACATTTTATTACATTTAGCGTCAGAATACAACAAAGGAATCCCTTAAATATTCATCTTGTCCAACCAGTCTTGTAACATAAGCCTGTGTTATAAATCTTCATGGTAAAGTAATCAAAGTTAAATACAACTAACACTGACTCCTCAGTTTTCAGTGTTAGAATTACCTATCTCCTTTTGTGACAAAAGCTGAATAATCAACAGCTTTGTAAACAGCCAATCACGTTCATGTTTTAACTTCACGTAACTGGTATTAGTTGTCATCTTGATTTGCTGTGTCCGACATTTTGTGGTTGAAGGTAAACAATTTAACGCTTTAAATTTGTGGTAACTATATGTACCACATGCTTTAGTAATTAATAAATCTGCATATTTCCTATTGTCTGTTTATTTGTTTTTGAATAATTCTCAGAACAAACTGTGACTGTTACCCTAAACAGCATTAATCGATTGCTCTTTGGAGTGGAGAGGTGTTGTGTTTTCTTTGAGGTACGAATTGAACTCTGAGCTTTAGCTTCAAAGGGTTAATCCACTTTTAAAAAGGTCCCATCTTGCTGTAATCTTATCCACCAATTCTCCTACTCATGTTTAAAATTATCTGTCACATCGTACGTCTTCTTCATTGCTTTTGTCACAAATTCAGACTTTTTTAACTTTGCATTTACGTAACAATACCAATTTCTTATACAACAACAACAAAAAACGAAAGATCCATTTCAGTCATTCTATCAGTCACAGTGAAGGGAGTTAATTCATACATTTGGATGGATGCTGATGTGAAAGGATATTTACATTTAATATCATGAAGCAATATTTAGCATTCTTGATTCATATTTAGAAGGTCCGACGTTTTAATCTTGGCTCAGATATCAGTTAATTAACGTCTTTATGGCATTTCTGTCAATATTGTACACTTCAGAGATTTTCAGACTATATCTCTTGCAAAACAGCAATTTTCAGCTGTCCAAGAAATCCTTTGCTCATGACTGTCACCACAAAAGCCTATATATCACTGTATCCTATCTTGAATCACTTCACAATCCATGTCCGTGAAAGTCAGCTTAATGAACGTAAAATCAAGAATTAGGGTGTATCTTCCTGTGAACACTTGGCAGGAATCACAGTCACATAAATTTAACGTGATACTGAATGATTAATAAAACAAAAGCATTGTCAAATATGCCTCTTCACTCACTAATGACTTATTTTGTTAGGGAAAGTTATTGAGTAATAACGTATTACTCAGTAATTTTCCATCGCAAAATAAGCTGGTAGAATTTTTTTGGTGTTCTTTGAAGAAAACTTTGTGGGCCTGCCCGTGTCTGTTGTGTATTTCAGTCAAGTATCTATCAGTATTGTACTAAAAATCCCGTAAAGAACAATGGCTGATTGGATTTTCATGAAAATTGGTGTGGTGGTTATGCCATCAGATGATACTCCTCCTAACTAGTGCTGCCTTAATTTCCCGTAGTCGGAAATATGAACCAAACGGACGCTCAAAGACCTTACATTGCATGCTGATGACGTAATTACCCATGATTCTCTGTGATTAAGGCACCCAGATGTTGATAGTTGTACAGCATAAATCATAAAGCGCAGGAATAAGTTTGTATAGCGTTACCGTCGTAGGTCGACTGTTTTCGATAATCGATTCACCAGCGATAAATGTCACACTACCTCGCTTTGTGGCTCATTCAAAATTTGTGGTAGCTCGACCCGAATGGCGGCTGACTGCACAGTATACTGCATTCGTGCTACTCACCGCGAAATCTTGCGCATGCGCGTATATCACATCCGTACCAGGGCTTTTCTCCTGAGCGCTCAGTGTTAAAGCAGCCTAACACACTGAATGCGTGCCTGTCGGTCCTTGGCGCGTGACATTGCAGATGCGTATATATCATAAGTTATCAGTAGTTGGCGCCAGGAAGTAACAGCGTAAGGCAAACGGTTAGAGGTTAAAATACCGTCACAAGTTAGTGCACTGACGGGCCAGCTAATTACGTGCAGTTTTTAGATTCTGAAGAGATACGTAGGGGTTATTTTAACGAATCGTTGCCAACATTGTAGAGGGTAATTTATTTGAATTCATTTATGACTATATCCTGTAACATTACATCAGCGGATATACCAGTGACCTGCAATATTTCCGCTCGTCTTTTCCACACACGGTAACCAGGTACATAATT